GTTTGGCGAATAAGGCAAGCTCTCATTCGAGCTCAAACAACAGGTATTTTGCATACACAGTAATCATAATCACTAAAAGAAAAGTTATAAGGCCAAGATTGAGATATGGTTTCGATAAACACATCAAATATATAGATATGGCATAACACATACAGTGGATACATTTGTACTATTTATACATTTTAAACGATTGTTATGTTTCCTTTGTTGTAACAAAAGGGATTTCAGTCAGGGCAGAAAGCAGATGTTCAATGGGTCATGCGACAGTCACGCTGTATAGATCTCGTGTTCGCGGGCCTGAGGGCATCAGTTAATTTACTCATCCTTTTCCTGCTGGATATACTAGTTCTATACATTCACGATCACGAGGTATCCATATGTTGTGAAAGGGCTTTTTTTAGTCCTGATACAAAAGATAGCTTTGTTGTCTCCTGATTGAATTAATTCAAAGCCTCATGATGGCTGATAGAGGCATATCCGTGTCCATTCATGTACTAGAAATCCCTACACCATTAACACGAGCAATAGTCCAGGTGAGGTGCAAACACAGTCCCAAACAGCAAGATAAAGGGTTAATCCAAGAAACACAGGCAGAAGGTTGGGAAACAGACAAAAAGGCAACACGACAAAAGCCAAGGCGACAAAAGTGGCTAGACTAAGACTAGAACTAGAACTGGGAACTAGGAATGGCTCCGTAATGCAGCTATCGCTAGAAGAGTGATATGCGCTAAATAATACTCGCCGTTGAATGGTGGTGTGAGACTGATTTATATAGTGTGTGTTATTGGTAGCAGCTGTGTATGATTGGTTTCAGGTGAGCTTGTGATTAGTGCAATGGAGCATGGGAAATGTAGTCCAGGGTGATGTGTAACAGTCTGTGTAGTGTGAGAGTCCATGTGGAGAGCGGGTGACCTCTGGTGGTGAGTGAACGGAAAGTTTATAGACCGGATTTGTGACAGGATCACTTTAAATTACAGCCCACAGATGTTACACTTACACAGTAACTACACGTAACAACAGGGTAACAAGGTATCACTTTAAATTACAGCCCGTGGATGTTACACTTACACTGTAACTCCACGTAACAAGAGGGTAACAAGGGATCACTTTAAATTTCAGCCTGCAGATGTTACACTTACACAGTAACTACACGTAACAAGAGGGTAACAAGGGATCACTTTAAATTTCAGCCCGCAGATGTTACACTTACACAGTAACTACACGTAACAAGAGGGTAACAAGGGATCACTTTAAATTACAGCCCGCGGATGTTACACTTACACAGTAGCTACACGTAACAAGAGGGTAACAAGGGATCACTTTAAATTACAGCCCGCAGATGTTACACTTACACAATAACTACAACAAGGGTCTCCCGTCAGAACGGTGTTTTCGTGTTTTTTGTCTTTTGAGTCGCAGTGTTTTCGTACGTCTTCATCGCGTCTACCTGTCTCTAAGCACGCATACAGTCATGAGTTTCTGCTCGATGTCGGCAGAACCACATTTTTAGAGTTAAACTCTGCGCACACTGAAGAGCTGCGGGATCTTGGTCTGCTCCAGAGGCCCACACCATCACCGACCCCCACTACTGCATCTGCATCGAGGAAGCAGAAGAGGGGTAAGTGCGGAGGTATCCGTGCTAGGCTAACGGCTAACCCACACAAGCCAGCTATCCCCACCATCGTACTGGCTAATGTACGCTCTTTGGACAATAAACGGGACTACATCCGACTACTACGCTCAACTCAGAGGACTGTAAGAGACTGTTGTGCTTTTGTGTTCACGGAAACATGGCTCAACAACAGCGTTCCGGACTGCGCTATTCATCTCGATCAGCTGACATGCTATCGAGCGGACAGAGCTCTCGTCGAGGGAGGTAAGACCCGCGGCGGTGGGCTTTGTGTTTACATCAATGATGCGTTGTGGTCTGCAAACACTGCTCAACCCTGGTGGAGTTTATGATTATTTGGTGCCGGCCGTTCTATCTACCGAGGGAATATACAGCCATACTGCTCGTTGCTGTATACATCCCTCTCAGCTCCAACAACAGTAACAGGAGCGAGGCACTAAATGAACTGTACCAGCACATCAGTGAGCAGCAGACAGCCCACCCAGATGCTTTTTTCATCTTAGCTGGGGATTTCAACCATGCAGACTTAAAGAGTGTGTTCCCAAAAATACACATAGACTTTCCAACACGGGGAAACAACACTCTGGACTTTGTTTACACCACCCAGAGAGGAGCTTACAAGGCCCTCCCCCACCTCGGTGCCTCAGACCACATCACTATCATGATAATGCCTGCATACAGACCGCTGCATACTGCCTGCATACATCTGCCTGCATACATTTTCAACATCTCACTAAGTCAGGCTGTTGTCCCCACATGCTTCAAACAAGAAAGCACAGCAGCGTCTCTACTTCCTCCGCAAACTGAGAAGAGCCAGAGCCCCAGCCCCCATCATGTGCACCTTCTACAGAGGCACCATCGAGAGCATTCTGACGAGCTGCATCACTGTGTGGTATGGTGCCTGCAAAGCATCCTGCCGCAAGTCACTTCAACGAATAGTGAGAGCAGCTGAGAAGATCATTGGTGTCTCTTTCCCCTCCCTCCAGGCTCCTCTTTGCCCCATGCACCACTGAACTCTGAACCCCAGCTCCCACATCCCCAGGTCCTTCCTCTCCCCCCTCCAACTAACACACTGGGACCTGCACCAGTCACTTTGTGCAGCATTGGCCTGCTCACTACCTCATTCAGCACTGAACTGATCTCATTCAACTACCTCTTCTGACAGTTTAAATAAAGAACTCTCTGAGCTTTGTCACTTTAATCAGTCTGAATAAGCTCTTTTGCACTACAAATCATTATATCTGCACTATTTGTTTACTTCACTGGTTTGCACTCTATCTGCCATGTGCCTTGTGCTGCTTTATATATATTTTTTACATTTTACCTTATATTGTATAGTTGTATTTTATATTTAATCTGTATCTATCTGTATTTATGTTCTACTATTAGTGTTATCTGTATGCACCAAGGGTCTGAGAGTAACGCAATTTCAATTCTCTGTATGTATGTGCTGTACATGTGGAAGAATTGACAATAAAGCAGACTTGACTTGACTTGACTTGTATGTTTGCATAGTAGTTAAGAAAAAATGTAATACATTTTATTCTACATGCCTCGAACCACATATGGAAGCTCAAGTGCACCAACAGCACTACAGCTATCAAAAAACATTAATTATACAGTAGATATACATGTGTTGTGTATTATGATGTCATATGTATATGTTATATCCTGGGAGCAGCTGGAAACAGGTAATCTAGTATCCTCGTGTACTATGTACTATCCTCAATGGTACAATGCTGCTGACGGACTCGCTGTAGAGATGACCATATGCAATGCTCTTTCATCAGGTAAACTTTATGGAAATTTCTAAAACAAATCATAGCAGAAACTCATTACATCATTTCCCCATACTTTATAATCTCCATGATCCCACATAAAGAAACACTAGTAAATATTATAGCATATATTCTTAAGTAAACTGTGGTACATTTTTATAAAGACTATGGTTTTTAACTTTACTATAATTACTAAATTATAGCCTACTATAGTATACTACAGTTTACTATTTGTATCAGTCATGTAAGATATGTTGTAATAATACAATAAGTACCCAGTACGTAGTGTAAAAATATACTGCATCATATATTTTGTATTATTACAATAAGGCAACTTCTAAATCATAATATTGTTGCCTAACACAGTAGCAAAAGATGCATACCATGTAATCTTAGAATAGTTACACCTTACTTATGAAATACTAACGGTATAAATACTTTTAATTTTCCAAGACATTGTACATTGTTTCTGTTTACCTACACGTAAGTACAGCTGTAAGTTATGCTTATGTGGGAAATTTCGATCTGTGTGTCATACATACCATGTGATTTCAGAATAGGTGCCCTTTAGTTATAAAATACTTGGTAACACTTTATTTCCATAGTCCACTTTAGACATTATATTAACAGTAAGTAACTTTGCAACTACATGTCAACTAGCAGTTAGTAGAGTATTAGTAGACTGTTTGCTTAATATCTTCTAACACTTTCTTTGTCAACTTATTCTACTAAACCTAAACCTACCCTAAGTCTACTCTGAGAGTTAGTAGACATGTAGTTGCAAATTAATGAGAATTAGTTGACATGTAGTTGACATGTAATTACAAAGTTACTTATAGTTCTAAAGTGGACTATCAAAATAAAGTGTAACCAAATACTTACAGTATAAATGCTTTATAATTTCACAGGTTATTACCCCCTTATTCCCCAAACGTTGCATATTGTTCCCTTATACCTACAAGTAGGTACTGTGGAGGTACTTTATAGTTACAAATTGGTACGCTGCAAATTCTGTTTAATTACGTGATACATTGCGGGCTGTAATCTACGGCTGTTACCGTAGATTCTTAATCTTTTTTTTTCTGTGTGTTTTGTATAAGGTTTCATTCACCTAGGAGCTACATGTATCTTGAAAGATTTCTCATTGACTGTACATTTGCATTTTACATTTCAAATGTCCAGTACTGTGCAAATGTCTTAGGCTATTAGTATTTTCACCTCAAAAAAAATGTACCTCTATTTTTTACTGTAGTTTGTCAGTAGGAAATATCAGTTGACATTTCCAAACTTTTTTTTTGCCAATTAATTGTAATAATCCAGTGATATTTTTGCATGCACAAGGAGTCTTGACAACAAGACACTTGAAGAAATCTCACTGGATTATGGTAAAAAAGTTTAGAAATGTAAACTGATATTTCGAACTGAAACAATACAGCAAAAGATAGAAATAACTGGCTTAACTTTCATGTATGAGGATATCACTAAATCCAATAAAACTCAAACCTTCTACTATAATTTCTACTCAATCCATAGTGCTGTATGTAAACATTTACAAAAATAAGACAAATCAAATCTGTCTTCCACTTCTCTAGATGGGACGCCAAAGATTCTCTCTGCCTTCAGTGAGAAGGTGGTGAGCCCGAATGAGCCCATCTCACTGGTGTGTCACGTGAAAGGAACCCCCCTCCCCACCGTCACCTGGACCTTGGATGAGGACCCCGTCATCAAAGACAGCAACCACCGCATGGATCGCATCATCACCACAGAAGGTCACGTGCTCAGCTACCTGAATGTGTCTCATACACAGGTCACCGATGGGGGCGTCTATCGCTGCACCTGCAACAACTCGGCTGGATCGGTCTCCTACCAGGCTCGAATAAACGTAAGAGGTGCTTGTCAGATCAGCTCCTCAAAAACACCCACACCACACGACAAGCACACACAACAATTTCATGTTTGTTCAGAGATTGTCTTGTTTCTATTTGGAAATTTTTGTTAGAAGGAGAATTGTATTGTTTTAGGTTGTCAGTGCAGTGCAGCCTCCTAAAAGGTACAGTATGTTCTCATTGGCTGCAACTTGCAGCAACAAAGCAACTTGAAGTGATTTATTTTCAATTAAATTTGGCACTTGGAAGAAGCGTGAGCAGTGACCATTGATGGCACAACAAAGAACAGAGTTTAACTTCATGCAAATGAGAACCAATGGGAGTGAAGGCAGTAGAGCTCTTGTGATTTGCCTCCTGATAGAGTTAGACTGCAGTCAAGTAGGAATGCATAGTATAGAACAGGGGTGTCCAATCCTGCTCCTGGATGGCCAATGTCCTACAGAGTTTAGCTTTAAACAACTCCAAAACACACTTGACCGGATGTTTCTATTGAGATAGCACTAGAGATTGCATTAGTGGCTGCCCATTGACTTTGGTCTCGAAGGTATTTTTCCATTTCTTTTCCTTTAGGGACTTTTTAAAAAAAGTCTTTGTTAAAGCATTGAAGCAAAAAAGTATTTGAAAATGTTTTGACAAACTTGACAAAAAGACTGTACAATGGTACAAGACTGTGTACTTAATGGCTTTTATGAGGGAAATAATTACAATCCAATAAAGCATTGCGAATAATATAATAAAAAAAAAACTGAGAGAAAAAAAACTATTTTATTTTAAAATTTGATTTTATCTAGAAAACAATAATGTATATTTTAAGTGGATTGTAAAATAAGCATATATATATATATATATATATACATATTATGACAGC